CTTGGCCATCATCCTATGATTATTACTACATAAAGCTCATCCTAGAACCCAGATTCCAAGTCTTATCTATTCAACTGAATTATTTTTCTTCTTCCCAAATTAGACAGTATGAGGTAGTTTATCCATGTTGTGCCATTTTCTCCTCCTCATGAAATCTGAATGGAATCTGAAGTTAGGCTGTTCTGGGAGAGAATAGTTAGCATCTCTGGTTTTCTGTAGCCTTGGAATCACCCAGGGAGGTGGGTGGAGCATAGGAGGCCAGCGTACAGGTGAATTGTAAATGGAGTGGTAGCAAACGGTGTGAAGTAGATGGCAGTGCTGGTGCTCACACTCAAGGCTTCCAGCTCCTCGTCAACAACTCTTTTTATTGCATTACACTGAATAAAGTAGCAGTTAGAATAATTGTTGGGGAAATGCTTTTAGACTAGCATTGCAGGTTTTCCTGTCACATCACAGACCTGGGTAAAAGCAGGAGATATAGAGCTCTTGACTCATCATACCATCAATCCAAGTGATTGAACCCTACCCCACTCAGTAGCCTTTCTTCCTAGCAGAGGATATTACCGACAACATTATGATTAATAATGAGTAATCGGGAGACTCTGTTTGGACCTGTTTTTTTTTTGTTTGTTTGTTTGTTTTTTTTAAGTGAGTCATTATATTTTTAACAAATCCTTTAAGTATCGAAGTATCAAAATACATATTTTTCTGTTTTATACCATATTTTCTAATTGCACTGAGAGTATAATTGGAAAGTGATGACCAGTTACAGACTGAGTTGCTGAAGGAAGCCTAAATTTTAATCCCATATTTTATAATCTACCCCTAGGATCACCTTTCCATCTTAACTTTTACAAGAATGCTAGTGGTTTTACTTGTTTTTTGTTATTGTTCAGTGCTACCTGAGTTTAGCACAGGTCCTGCTCCCTATTAACTTTCAAATGTTAAATGTGTGAGTGATGATGAGTAAATAAGTTTCACACTAATAATGGTGACTTTCTACTAGGAGAAGTATAGAAAAACACTATTAATGAAAACTCTAAGTATAGAAAACTGTTAATAAAAATTTTCTGAGTAGACATGATAATGGAAATATCCTTAAACAAGATAAAATTATCTAAGTAAATGTTCAGTCCTTTTATGAAAATCAATCCTCTATAACTTATAAGGTGAACGCTATTATTAATAGGGAGGTTGACATTATAATAAAACGGTAAATCGACCATGTTTGCTGCTCCTGAGTCTGAATATAAGGCAGATTAAAATTTCTGAGGAACCACTAAGAAAATACCTCAATCCTCATTATAAACTGATGGTTTTGCTTATGTCCTGGAGATTTTATACAGCTTGCCTTTGCTTTCTTTCATATAGCTGTGTAATCTTTCTGGCTTTGGGATAGACCAAAGTTAATAGACATCATTTGAAACTGAGCCATATAGTAGAATGTAATTTGCCATAAAGTTGAATGTTCTGTAGAGTTCCTCTTTATTTTTTTAAAGGGGTGTGCTTTTCAACATAATGTGTATAATCCCTGCCTCCACACACAACACCAGAATGGGGTTATGATTTCCCTGATGGGATTACTTAGGTTTGTTCTTACTTTTTGAATGAGCTTAATTTTAGTTTTTAAACAAGCTGGTTTATACCTTTTGCCAGTATGCTAGGCCATCAGAAGACAGTACAATCATCTTCAAAACCTGGGTTTAATAGAAGGAAGTGTGAGAAAGCATCCAGTAGGTGTTTAGATCTGGTTAGACTTTGAGTGGTCCCTTTCTAACAATAGAAGCATAATAATTCCTTTGGAATTCTTGTTCTTCGTTCCTCTGCAGATTGTCAAGAGCTATTTGAATCCTAACTATATTCCAGGCACTATGTTAGGTGCTACAGTGGATGGAAAAAAGGGTAAAACTCATCAAAGAACTCATAGTTTCGTGGAATGTGTCATGTGTGTACCTAACACAAATCGAGTATCCCTTATCTGAAATGCCTGGGACCAGAAGTGTTTCAGATTTTAGAATTTTTTTTTTTTGGATTTGAAATACTTTCATTATACTTACTCAATGAGCATCCAAAATCCAAAAT